AAAATTGAAAGAAAAATTAACATTAGAAGAACTGACTTTGATATGACAAAGGCTTGTTCCATGACAATGAATCTCGTAATAAAACCAACGAGATAGATAAATATAGTCACAGCATCGAGTACATTCCATCTATCATCAATAAAATACGATGAAATAATAGTAGATAAGCGATTATTGCTTTTCTTTTGTTGACGATAGTGAATGCCGAACTAAAGACAGGTTATTATTTTTACCAAAGCAACTCAAAAGAATTTTTTACATACTTCAACAGCTTCTTCGATGATTAGTCCCCAAATACACATATGAAGAATGATTTCAGGAATTGGAATGCCAATCGAATAACCACTACGTTTACCTCGATTGTTATTATATGGAAAGTAGTCGACCAGCATAACAAAACTGAATAGACACAACATGAGTACATAAAATATCTATAATAATATTGAATAAATAATAGTGTTCAAATTGAATCTAATCACTTACAATATTGTAATAATATCGAATGATAGCTCTTCCATCAAAGAAGTCCTTGAGTCGATCATAGATTATTCTTTTTGGCCAACTACGTGTGCCACTAAATTGAATATTCATTTTTAATGTAAGAATTTCTGTTGAAAAAAAAATGATCATAATCGATTACAATGATTTCTTTGGTTTATTAATCTAAGATACGAATTAAAAATTTAACCGATTGTAATCGATAATAATCTTGATTTGAATACAGTTTAATCGAAAAGTACTCGCAATAATGAAATCATCAACAAAAAGGCTTTTTTTTTTCAACTTACATTCGTCTTATGATCGGTGATTGAATAATCCGATAAATGCCAGAAAATATTACCAGAAAAGGAAAAATACACAGCACACACATCTATTATATTTTCAAATCTCAATAGTTAAATGAAGTTCAATGATACATTACTGACCAGTGTATCAATAATAGTTCTTCTATTAACAGAGTTGTCAGTATAACCGTACCAGAGTCGATTGGCATACGCTTGTACACATCTAGTGGCTAGAAATGAACGGTTATTCGTTTCTTCAGCTAGTTTCAATGAAGAATAGCCGAAATATAAATCTGATTGTGTTGTCAATAGTTGTAGAGCGAAATTTTCATCTTGAGAATAACATTTATCAATAATTTGTACTGCATGTGTATCGAATTCTCTGACGCACAAAACAGAATATATTATGAAAAGAAAGTTTTGAAAAAATAGTCTTGTCGTACTCTTTTTTTGCAAGATATTTTCTTTGTAGCTCTTTGTCATCGACTAATTCAGCTGCTTTTATGTGAATCTTACTAGCCAAAAGTGCAGCTACGATTGGATTCTATTTCAATTATCAGTAAACAATTAAAAATTAAAAAAAAAAGAAAACAAAACGCACCGGGCTATGTGAACACAAACAGATAGATAAATTAAAGTTAGCAGCAAATATTGACCAAAGATATATATCACGAATAAATTCTAAACGTATATTTAGTTAACTTTCACTTCTTTCAATATTCGAATAGATTTCAAAAAAATTTCGATCGATTTAATAACTACTTTTTTTATTTATTATGAACGAGTATAATCCTACCTGAAGTTAAAATTATTTGAATTCTAATTGCTACTCGTTCACGACTCCATTGGAATTTAATGGAAGTTTTGTTCATATAGACTCGATTGACTGCATCAATATCAAGTGTATAACACGAACTCAGACCATCCAAATAACTTGGAGAACGCGAATTCTTATCAAAGCCAATAGCCAAATATTGACCTTGCTCGACATAGACAGCAGAATTGTACATATGAATTGTTAGTTTGTTGTTATCATATTGATAATCACGAACGTCTGTCTTTAATACATCGACTACTTGAAAACAATCTGTATCGGATGTTGGCGAAATAATATAAAGAACTACATGATTTGACGTGCCTGTTGTCACTGATGGATTGTGAGAATTTGAAAAAACAATAGAAACTTGTTTTACATAACCATTTTGTCTAATAACATCGTCTCCATTGAAGACAACAAGTCCGTTTAGTTTAGTCGTCCGTTTTAGAGGATTCTCAATAGTACCATAGATATCGACATTGTCTAGAATCGAGAATAAAAATATTAAATGGTATTTATGACAATTTTCTTGGTCCTACTCGAATGCAACGCTTTTTTTCCCTGAAAAAAAAAGAAAAACTTTGATACTCTCAAACTTAACTAATAAGTTTGTTTACTTGGAAAAAATCGATTGTTTGTAGTGCTTCTGTATTCAGATATTGTTTGTAATACATTTTTTGTTTATTATTATCGTCTACTGTAATTTCTTTCTTTGACAATGGTAAACCAGTTTTCTATGAATATTCAATGGTATGTATGAATTCTGCAGAGTTTCACTCACTTTCTTGTATAAGTCTTTAATATTAATTAATCGTCGAAGTCGATCGAATGATGCACCTTGTTCAATAAGAAGTTCAACAAACTGTACAGAACCATGCTGTATTGCATCAGTTAAAGCACTGTCTAATTGAACATCCTTTCAAAAGTAGTGAAAATCAGAAACTAAGATTCTCTTCGTTTATAATACTTACTGTCCACTGAGTTTTAACGTTTTCGATGAGCATGTCTGAAACGACCAGATCAAACTTATTCCACGCCATGGCTAATTTGAGCTTTTGTACATGAGCATCAGATATTTCATGCTTGGGCATACTTGCCGCTAAGTAGAAAAATCATTCAAAAATCGATAGGAATTATGTAAATACCTCGAAATAATGCTTGAAGTATGGCATCACTCAATTTAAATTCGGGATCGTCAGGACATAGTAAAAAAGTATTGATCAAGAAGAAGCCTTTTTCTGATCTTATCATGTCACGAAAACGCTTTTCATTACTTCCAGTGATGATGTCCTTACCATCTTCTTTTATTACTCGTTCTCTAAAATATAAGTTAATTTTTTTTTTGCAAAAGAAAATATGAATATTACAAATTAGCATTATTGTTCGCTGGTGAAAAATATGTTGTTTGATTGTCATATAATGCTTTGTATGCTTTTGCAATAAAATTAGCCGCTCTGCCAGTACCCTACATAAAAGTGAAAATGAAGTATGTTCTTCTGTTGAATTCTATTTTGAATATGTACGTCAATGACAACGACGGGTGTTTCGTGCATTACTGCTTCAACCACTGTTAGAAGAGATGAAGGACCACCTTCGATTAATATTTGAATAATGGGAATCTTATAATCTATGGACGAACAGAACCTAATAACTAGACAAAGAAGAGTATTACCTACTGTGTCTATAATGAGAGCTACAACGAGCTTCCTGTTCAACTTCAGCACGCAACTGAATAGTGAGGTCGGCTCGAACTGGATATCCATATCGTCTCCAGATTTCATCATTCGGACCACATTTATCGTCAAGTAGAATAAAGTGAGTATGATTTGGATCGAGAGGATATGATGCTGGCTTCTCTCGTGGTACACAATTGCGATACAATTTTTCACGATCGGCTACTGTGCTAAATGTCGCTGTTGGCATTGCACTCTAGATCATGCTTTCATTTCTCGGGAGACCTATGAAAATTATATACATACTCCTACACTGCTCAGTTTCACACGTCGTCGTTGAATGAGTTGTCTATAATCTATTTTTGAATAACAAAAGCGAATGTTGACCAGAATAGCATGTTCACTTTCTCTTACTTGTCGCATAATACCAACTTGCAATCCCAATAACAGGAACTTGAACATGACCTTTATCCACACTACTAGTTTTGTATGTCCATTTTTCGAATGCATCACCCACATCCTTCATAACTCCGGCATACGTTCCTCCAGTGAACACCCAAGCATCTATTCAAAGATAGGCATAAACATAATACCAATCTCGACTCTTACCAGTCGTGACAGCAGCTGAGACAAGACCCTTTTGAAGAGCAATACGACTTCTTTGTGGTAAATTAAAAACTTTTGCGCCACCTGTGACTGAAATTATTAATTCAGGTGGAGACAATTCCCATTTATCGCGTAACAATTCAATGAGATGTTTAGCAGGTTCGCGTATTACAGATGGCATAGGAACAATAGTATGAATAGTAGGCAGTTGTTGGATCACAGAAAAATTCCATCGGCGATTCCGTTCTTCTACGGTAGTATGATTTGTTCTCTGTCCATGAGTTTCATTTTGTGATGCTGATTCACCAGCTTGAGGAGGATCGAATGGGTAACGTATATACTAATATCAATTCGATCAATATTCTTAGAAATAAAGGTTAAGATTTACCCATGATTTGCGATCATTCTGTGTGAAATGTATTTGTCCATAATCTTCAATTCTAAATGATACACATGAATAAATGAATAAATTATACAAATGAGATTCTCACTGTCTGTCGCTATATTGATTATTATTTCCGACGACCCACTAGAATGTAGAAAACATATTCACATAGTTCAACGGTTGAATTTTGCCTACTACTTACCTTATGAACAGCCTCTGTAATGCGGACATTCGATTGTAAATGTGCTGATTGCGTTTCAGGATTTTCCATATTGTCACACTTGATTATTGTTTATCATACATCTCCCATGTAAAAATAAAAAGGTATTTAACGAAATGATTCTTGAAATTAACACAAAAAAATGCTTTAAAAGACAAATTAACGAAATTTCACGAAGAAAATTTCATGAACTTTCGTTATATTTCGAAAACTCGCGTAAACGCGTTAGATTTTTCACGCTTTTTCACGCGTGATTGTCGTTTTAACTATAACTAACTCATTATATATCGTTAAACGTTGCATTCATTTTCATGCGTTAAGAAGTTTAACGATATTTCTTGAGTTTTTTTTATTTTTAACCAATCTTACCATGTTAAATATCGTTAAACTTAGTATTCATTTTCATGCGTTAAACATATTAACGCGTTTTCATACATTTCTGTATTTTTCATAAAACTTAACTGATTGATTCTCGTTAAATCTAGTAACTATTTTCACGAGTGAAATATTTTAACGAGTTTTAATGAAAATCTTAATTGTTAACGAACGTCATTTAATTATTCATCATTGAATCTACTAATTGTTTTCACGCGTACAATATTCATGATTTTTTGTGTAACATATTTGTTTATGCACATTACACAAAAATCATCTTAAAAGGCTTATATTTACGAAATATCAAGTGTGTCTGTGGACTATATCAATCCAGATATCAAAAGCTTTTTATCAGATTAGGCAGCACTCCTTTAGAGAAATCTCTACTTTGTATTAATCGCTAGCAAAACTACTTGAATTAATCCTAGACAAAGATAATCTTCTTTCAGTTTTTCTTTAAAATTTACTATGGGTTTTATATCAAAGGAATGTAATTCTATACTTCGTACATCATCATTTCTGCTTCACATGATAAAAAAAGTTTAGCGAAATAATTGCTCCAGTTAAGGTCAAAAGTTGCCTTAAAAGGCAAATTAATGAAGTTTCACGAAGAAAATTTTCATGAATTTTTGTTAGATTTGGAAAATTCGTTTTAACGCGTTAGATTTTTCACGTTTTTTCACGCGTAATTGTCATTTTAATGGTAACTAACTCATTATATATCGTTAAATGCTGCATTCGTTTTCACACCTGTGATATTTTAACTTTCTCACTCGAGCTACATGCCACCTGTATAAGTGTGTATTGATATAAATTCTTTTTTTACGCTATTGAGTTGAGCTGAGTTGAGTTTTTCGCTTATAGAATCTAGATCTAATATGAAAGCTATGACTGGTTCATCTCTGTTAAATACGTAAGCTGATAAACTAAGTTAAGACGAAAGGGGTAATTAAATTATATTAGTTCATGTAATCTGTCTTTCCATAGTTCAAGCTAATGAATATATTACTTCTCAGGATTTTTCATACATTGTGATTCACCGCAAATATGATGAAATTTCTTCAATGATCAATATCATGCTAAGTTTTACTCGTCTGAGGAGAAAAATCCAGCTAATCAATTCAATAGTGGATGTACTTTCTAATAAGATGCTTAAGATAATATTATTATCACTAAAAATATTTCGTAATTGATAGCGTAACAAATCAAAGAGTACAATATTCTTTTTTTACTTTGTCGATATCCCAGATTTTAAACTAGTAATAGTCTTATAATTTCTGTCAACTATGGAATACATTTCTGGTACCTACAAGGATGCGAGATTGTCGCAAGTAAAGCCATAAATAGTTTCACTTTCGAGATATAGACAAAATTAAAAAAAATATTGCACTTCCTCGTTGGTTTTGCTATCTATTACGAAATATTTATAGTGATAACAATGCTTTCTGAAGCATCTTATTAAAAAGTACATCCAATATTGAATTGATTACCTGGACGATTACATGTCTTCTGAGAGTATCCCCGGAAACTCGATTATGCCCTAAGGGTAAGAGGTAGATAGATATTGGTATAGGAGGTATAGAGGTATAGAGGTATAGAGGTATAGGAGGAATAGGAGGTATAGGAGGTATAGGAGGTATAGACGTATAGGAGGTATAGAGGTATAGGAGGTATAGAGGTATAGCAGGTATAGCAGGTATAAGAGGTATAGAGGTATATGAGGTATAGAGGTGTAGGAGGTATAGAGGTGTAGGAGGTATAGAGGTATAGGAGGTATAAGACGTATAGGAGGTATAGAGGTATAGGAGGTATAAGAGGTATAGATGTATAGGAGGTATAGGAGGTATAAGAGGTATAGCAGGTATAGAGGCATAGGAGGTATAGAGGTATAGCAGGTATAGCAGGTATAAGAGGTATAGAGGTATATGAGGTATAGAGGTGTAGGAGGTATAGAGGTATAGGAGGTATAGAAGGTATAGGAGGTATAAGGGGTATAGGAGGTATAGGAGGTATAGGAGGTGTAGGAGGTATAGGAGGTATAGAGGTGTAGGAGGTATAGAGGTATAGGAGGTATGGGAGGTATAGATGTATAGGAGGTATAAGAGGTGTAGGAGGTATAGGAGGTATAAGAGGTATAGGAGGTATAGGAGGTATAGAGGTATGGGAGGTATAAGAAGTATAGGAGGTATAGAGGTATAGGAGGTATGGGAGGTATAGATGTATAGGAGGTATAAGAGGCGTAGGAGGTATAGGAGGTATAAGAGGTATAGGAGGTATAGGAGGTATAGAGGTATAGGAGGTATAAGAAGTATAGGAGGTATAGAGGTATAGGAGGTATAGGAGGTATAGATGTATAGGAGGTATAAGAGGTACTTAGGTCTGACCAAAAGTTCTGTCATCATTAAATAAAAGTATAAAGATAACGAGATATTTTTAATTTTATTTTATCAAATGTTGAGGATAGTTGCTAGTATTATTTATTTCAAGATCAATCTTTTCCAACAATTAACTAAAATTCTTTTTTGAACTCTTTTTGTGAAACATTTTTAGCTACCTTGGAAACTGCATGAGCACATCATATTTCATTTATTTAATCAGTTAAACTACGTCCGACACAATCACTTTATCATAGATTACGTAGTATCAGGTCTGAGAAATATAGTAGATGTGACATTATATTGATGTCTCCTTCTGTCAAATAATTAATAACATTGGACGAGTATGAAGTCAACGATGATCGTCAAGCAATTTTCGGCATTTTGAACCTGATGTCTTTGTTTGTTTTCATATTATATTAATGAAAGGCTTCACACAATTTTCAATATAATACTTGTAACCTACAGTCTTGCCTTTATCTATACTCAGGACTATTTGATTTAAAGAATATACCAAACAAAGTTTTGCTTCAAATCTATCTCCATGACCAATATTCTTTGACGATTCATCTTCAATATGCCAGCTAGCATTAGATGATTTATAACTAACCTATCTAAAATAAATCCATATCTCATCAGTAGCAATGCTAGAATGCAACTGACAGAATCGAACAAAATTTTGCTAAATTTCTAAACCAAATGAAACATGATTAGTTCATACAGTTTCCAAGGTAGCTAAAATTTTTTTCAGAAAACGAGTTCAAAAAAGAATTTTAATTAATTGTTGGAAAAGATTGATCCTGAAATAAAAAATACTAGCAACTATCCTCAGCATTTCATAAAATAAAATTAAAAATATCTCCTTATTTTTATATTCTTATTTAATGATGACAGAACTTTTGGTCAGACCTAAGTATAATAGGTATAGGAGATATATCGATGCTTATATATACACATGTTAATCTCTTTGGTGCTTCATAATTGATATCTGTTATTTGAAGTCTACACGATATTGGTAACCGTTTTAAACGGCAAGTACAATCAATTGAACATAAGAATACATGTTTTGCGTTTCAGATGCCTGATCCTAACAAATTATCCCAAGTTCTGGCGTTCTGTATTCGACCGATGACGTTGCCATATGTAGGCTGTGGGTGTAGGTGTGGGTAAAGAGGTGATTCAAACCCACACCCACACCTACACCGACACCAACACCGACATCCACACCAACACCCACACACTGCGGTCTTTGTGTCTGAGTATTTTTTTATGTAAGTCCTATTTGGTGAAACTCCTTTCGCGGCACCCTC